AGTGTGACAGGGTGACAGGTGGGGTGGCAGTGTGAGAGAGGGGTGACAGGATGAGATGGGGTGACAGGGTGACAGGGAGAAGTGGCAGGGTGAGATGGGGCTGACAAGTGGGGTGGCAGGGTGAGATGGGGTGAGAGGTGGGGTGGTAGGGTGAGGGGGGTGATAGGTTGGGTGGCAGGGTCAGGGGGGTGACAGGTGGGGTGACAGCATGAAAGGGGGTGACAGGTGGGGTGGCAGGGTGATGGGGTGAGAGGGGGTGACAGGTGGGGTGGAAGGGTGAGATGTAACTGTGTAACCATAATTGGACATTTAACAGAAAATACCTTAATACATTAATTTGTATCCAGCTGGTATTTTCTGTTAAATGTCCAATTATGGTTACACAGTTACAATACATTCCACACTAATCTGGATTTTTTGTGTCATCAAGTACAAACACTTGTCTGTCTATTTTATTTTAGTTATTTTTTCCTACAGAGAAAACCTTTCTGTGGGAATTTGAGGTTTCTAGAATTAATATTTATCTAAGTTTTCTTTTTTCTTCTTTCATATATATTTTTTTCAAATATATTTTTGTTATAAAAATATTTTTTACAGATTCTCTATTAAAAGCTATGTTTTAAATATATCAGGGCAGTGCCTCTCTCTTTTTCATTGTAATTTAGCATAGGGACAGCGTCTGTCTCCACGGGTAGGAGTCTGACGCGGAAGATGTAGTGGGTTAGCCTCTACGGGATACCCGCGCAGTGAAGCGTTCGAGGCCTGTTCAGACAGATGAGCTGCAGTAGGGACATTATTAGGGTCAGACAGTAGTTGTCTCTTTAGTAAATAGTCATTTTAAGGGGGGACTGTTGTGGACAAAAATATTAACCCAGTTCATATTAATAAAATGCCTATTTACTCAGCATAACCACAATCAGTATTATTCAATCTTATATGTGATTTACCTAAAATGGCCGCTAGGGAGTTTCCCTTTGACATCGACTAACACCCTGTTACGGTTGCCTCCAGGCTGGCTGAAAGTTGGACCGTAGAAAGAATGCTCCTAGCGCTCACCAAAGGACCATCAGCACCGTAGACACCATAACTACTGCGTAGCCACCAGAAGTACTGCAGACTCCACGAACCACCGCTGCTGGGCTGGTATCGCGCCGTCTGCTCTATGCCCTGGACCCACGACCAGGCTCCAGGTTGTGGTAGGTGAACCTCTTCCTTCTGCAGAGCGAAGCAGGATCAGGAACAAGAGCTCTTACAAGAGCTCAGTAGCTAAGGGAGTATGAAGAGCATAGCAATCCCTGTAGTGATTATAGCTGTCCCTTACAAACATGAGTCAAGGCTACAAGTTAGAGGGTCAAGAAGATCTGATGTTTAATGGCACACACTCTGCTTTTATGAGATTCTGCCCATGCAAGGGAGACACCCACATAATTAGCAGTATAACCAATCGGAACAATATACATTCGGGGAAATTCCCATCCCTCAGATAATCACATAACATAATTAAAACAGAACAGTTTTTCCCCATACCCTGTAACTTTAAAATCATACATCCAATCTTCATACAAATTACATATTTGGAATCAATCCATTCAGGGGAGCAACATATTAAAAAATGGCACAAATCAGACAAGGGGTTCAAAAGTTAGTAAAAAGTATCTTTTGTACCCTGGCTGGCAGCATGGCTATCTGGCTCAAACTGGTTTTACAGAGCCCTCTCTCCTGGACAATGGGGAAAGTAATCCAATTATCCAGGGATAGAGGCAGACTCCATTAACCACATGTTAGCAAAAGACACAAAAAGACACAAAAATACATAACTCTTCTCATACTGAACAGAACCCCCACATTCAGCCTATCCCCAGATGGCTTGGATCTGAGCGCTCAATGTATCCAAACAGCGCTCAGATCCCACAAATACAGTCAAATCGCCATACACACTAGGTCCATAGTCATGGGGCAGAAGGCTGGCAATTAGGCTTCTCCATAACACAGGGAAGCAGGGCAATTTGTCAAATAAAATAACAGTTACAAATGGCTGTCTGTAACACACCCTCATTAACAAGATGGCGCTAGAATCTGGGGGAGACCTCCAAGATACCAGTGACATCACACCCGGTAGGAAGGGCTCTAAATGAACCACTTAACACCTAACCAATTATTTATGTATTATTCCATGTTATCTCTGACAATGCATATGATGTAATTTTGCTTGAAAGTGGCATGCCGTCCCCCCAGAATAAACATTCCTCAAGTTTTTCATTAACCCGAAACCTGTGTCTGGTGTGAATTACTTCAGGAGCGTGCACACATCTTTTTAAATTTGGCCGGGGGCAGATATGCAAGATAATCAATTGATTGATTCCACATCAATGTGATCTATTTGGATTTTGCCAAGGCATTTGATACAGTTCCACACAATAGATTAGTGTTCAAACTCAAGGAAATCGGTCTAGATAAAAATGCTTATTGTTGGGTAGAACATTGGTTTAAAAATAAAGTACAGAAAGTTTCTGGGACCCCTTCTGTTTATAAATGATTTAAAAAAAAAAAAACATTGAAAGTTGTGTTTCAGTGTTTTCAGTGTTTTGTATTACTTGACACAAAACTCTAAAGCAGTGATTGCGAACCTTTTTGAGCCCGAGTGCCCAAACCGCAATACATGCCAACTTTTTTTTCCTCTAAGTGCCAACACGGCAATTAAACCTGAATACTGAGGTTTAAGTTTAGAAAAAACAACTCGTTCAGTTGTCCGAACTCATTAGCATCTTTTGTTTTAAAAGAAGAACATAACAACAGAGAGTTCAATGATACAAACTTTTTTATTGAAAAAAAAAATTCTAGTAAATTAAAACACACTGGTGTTCAGTGGTGCTTTACCTTATTAAGGGCCTATTCCCACCTATTCACCCGCAGTTTGCATGCATCTTACTTGCTGCTTTGGCACAGTTTACATCACAATTACATCCGTCTTACATCCAGTTTTGGTGCAGTTTTCTATGTATGTCATTGGACATGCATTTTTTTTATCAGGTTTCTGTCCAACCAGCTGCAGCAAAACTGCATGTAACTGTGCCAAAGATGTGTACAAGGGGATACTCAACTTGTAATCTGATTACATGCCAGACTGACATTGTATGACGAACACCTTACTCTGGGTCTTTTCTCTGCTTCTACAGTTACAGTAAATGTCAACCTGAATGAGGGTGAGCAAGATAAACAAGGAAACTGAACTTGCTTAACACACTTTAAACAACTCCTAAATTAGAACTACCAACTGTGCTGTCTGTTGTCATCCCTTCACATTCTATCTTCTCAAGTGTGGCACGCAGGGCATAGAATTTATTTTTCCAGATAGAGCTTTCTTGAAAATCTAATAGCTCCATTTCCAGATTTTCTAAATCTAACCAGAGTAAGCAGGAAATATCAAGCTCTTCATATTTGGCTTTATCTGGAGAAGTGAGAAAATACAGGGTTGTCTCCATTTTCCGGAATTGCAAGAATCTTTTACTAAAATTCTCCTTAGCAGCCGCTACAATGCTAGAAAGCTCCTTGTGGATTTCCTGATGGCTTGGAGGATTGTCCGTAAATATTGTAGAATTTTCCAAATGTATTTTTAGATTTGGAAAGTATTTCAGCTGCCCACTTTCAATGTCTCTTTCAAAAACTTGCAGCTTTCTCTCAAATGTTCTGATATCACAAAACATCCTTTCTGCTATTTTCCCGACCCCTTGCAGTTTTTTGTTCAGAACATTGAAGTGTGCTGTAAAATCTGTAAAAAACATGAGGTTGGTAAGCCAGGCCGTATCAGTGAGCTGGGGATATTCTTGCCCCTTTTCATTCATAAACAGCCTAATTTCATCCAAACAAGCCACAAATCTCTCCAGGACTCGTCCTCTGCTCAGCCATCGGACATTATTGTACATAAGTAAAGTGTTATACTGTGCATGTACCTCATCAAGAAGTGCTTGAAACTGTCGAAAATTAAGAGCACGAGCCATGATGTAATTCACCATTTTAGTGACATCTTTGAGGATATCTTCTAATTTTTTGCTGCTGTCCCTGGCACAAAAAGCTTCCTGGTGTATAATACAATGAAACTGTATGAGTGGATGTTTTGCTTCTTTAACAAAGAACTGTATGAAACCAGATGTTGCCCCAACCATGCAAGGTGCTCCATCACTAGTAATGGATACCACCTTTTCTGGTCTTATTTATTGTGCCAAAAAAGCCTCCATCACAGCATTGTGGATATCTATTCCTTGTGTTCTTCTAGGCAAGGACAACAGTTTTAATAGCTCTTCTCTCATGACGTCACCAACAGCATAACGCAAAATTACTGCTAACCTTGCATGATTATTTATATCTGTGCTTTCATCCAAGCACATGGAGTAACAGGCTGCCTTTTGTAAATCCGTGCAGAGCTGCTGACTAACATCACTTCCCATGCGCAGGACTCTATCTTTAACAGTATTTCTGCTAACTGGCATCTCAGAGATGCGTTGCATAATTTTATCCTTGTTTGGGAAATCATGAAAAAGGGAACTACTCCCAGCCAACATGGCCATTTTGATAAAATCCCCATCAGAAAGGGGCTTACCATGTTTTGCTATGCACAGTGAAATTTGAAAGCTGGCAACTGTCAGATGATTTGATTTAGCAAGTTAGTTGGAAAAACTACGATACTGGGAGTCATATTTCCTTAATGACTCCTTAAGAAACTCTTTTCTTTCAGATTCTCCAAGTTTGGCAACACTTTTGTGGTTGGTGTCAAAGTGACGTCTAACACTTGATGTGCGGGACACAACACTTTCACTACACAGAATACATAACGCTTTTCCATTGCGTTCAATCACTCCAAATGATTCTGTCCAAGTTTCTTGGAATGATCTTCCACTATCTGTTTTAAACTTTGCTTTTTTTGCTGTACACATTTTTTGTGTTTGTGACGTGAGGTCTATAAAAACACAAAATGTATAAAAACAAAAGACTGTAAGGGTACATATTGCTCACCAACACACAGTACATATCACTTATTACCACACTATGAATGTAAACGGTGGAAAGGACACTTGTCATTTATTACCACACTGCAAGGTTTGACAGTCGTAGCGTGCTGGTGAGTGACATGTACCCTCACAGTGTAGTAATAAGTGATATGTCTCTTTGTGTTTGACGGACTTAGATGCAGAGAGAGGGCACTGGAAGCTTCATTTTGGCGGCTGGTACATGTTAGGATTTGTTTTTTCTGGTCTGTTGTGGGGCTTGTCCCAAAAATGTTTAATCTGGTTTGGATACATACCAGATTAAACCTCTGCAAAAAAGTGTCCAAAGTCTTTTAAGGTTTGGGAGCAATTTAGATTAAGTGCTGCAAAAAATAAATAAAATAATCAAAACAATCAGCCAACTGATTATGAAAATAATCAAAACAGCCAATTGATTATGAGAACAATCATTAGTTGCAGCACTGTATCCCTGTACCACTTTCACTGGTACTCTCCACTAACGTAGGCAGTCCAAAATCTACAGAAAATAGTAAAATACATTTGTTGCACAGTGGTCAGCCCCATCAGAATAAAAACAGTGACACAGTTGTCAGCCCCCATCAAAATAACATTGGTGGCACAGTGGTTAGCCCCCATCAGAATCACTGAATAAAAATTATAAATGGTTTCAAGGGGGGCTGATCTACTAAGCGTAGCTCAAAACAGGTATGGAAGTTACAATACAAAAAAAGTCCTAAGCAGAAATCACATAAAAGAACACCATGAATGCTAAAAGCAATTAAGAGTGAAATACCTGGAGCTAGAATTCAAATAAAATAACAAGGGGGGTGACTGAAGCGAGTAAAATAATCTAGGAGAGAGAATCATAGTACAACAGCTAAATATATTAGACGTCATCAGCTAAATATATTAGGCGGCATCAGCGGAGGGAGCAGTGCTGGAACATTGCTCCCTCGCAGCCCTCTATCCCACCCACCAGTGCCATCTTAACAACATTATGGGCCCCTTGGCAAAACAGTGCACTAGGGCCCTGCCTACACACAACTCACAGGAATAAATTTTTTAATTATAGATAAAATTAAGCTTAGATTTATTAGCATCTCCAACAATTGCAATACATACAATACACACACACACAGACTGCTGAATACACACACAGACTGCTAAATACACGCACACAGTCCGCTAAATACACGCACACAGTCCGCTAAATACACGCACACAGACTGTGTGTGTGTATTCAGCAGACAGTATGTCTATTCCGCAGTGTGTACTCAGCAGACTGTGTGTATTCAGCAGACTTTTTTCCCCAACAGTCTGCTGAGTACACACACACACGGTCTGCTGAGTACACACACACACAGTCTGCTGAGTAAACACACACAAAGTCTGCTGAGTACACACACAGTCTGCTGAGTGCACACACACACAGTCTGCTGAGTGCACACACACACAGTCTGCTGAGTGCACACACACACAGTCTGATGAGTACACACACACACAGTCTGATGAGCACACACACACACAGTCTGCTGAGCGCACACACACACAGTCTGCTGAGCACACACACACAGTGTCTGCTGAGCACACACACACAGTGTCTGCTGAGTACACACACAGTGTCTGCTGAGTACACACACACAGTGTCTGCTGAGTACACACACACACAGTCTGCTGAGTACACACACACAGTCTGCTGAGTACACACACAGTCTGTGTGTACTCAGCTGTCTGTGCGTACTCAGCAGTCTGTTAAATACACACACAGACAGACTGCTGAATACACTTATATAGTCTGCTCAATACACACAATGCTGGATACACACAGACAGACTGCTGAGTACACACACGCACACACGGTCTGCTGAGTACACACACACGCAGCTGAGTACACACACACACACAGCTGAGTACACACACACACACACACAGCTGAGTACACACAATCTGCTAAAACACACACTGGTGAATGCACGCTGCTGAATACACACACACACACACACACACACACAGACCGCTGAGTACACACATATAGACTGATAAATACACACACACTGCATTGAGGGGTGCAGTGTATGTGTTTGTGAGTGGGTAGGGGTGCTGTATGAGAGTGGGGGTGCTGGAGGTGCTGTATGGAGAGGTGCTGTATGGTGCTAGAGAGTGAGGGGTGCTGTATGAGAGAGTGGGGGTGCTGTATGAGAGAGTGGGGTGCTGTATGAGAGGAGTGGGGGTGCTGTATGAGAGAGAGTGGGGGGTGCTGTATGAGAGAGTGGGGGGGTGCTGTATGAGAGAGTGGGGGAGTGCTGTATGAGAGAGTGGGGGGGTGATGTGTGTAAAGGAAGAATTATTTTCTTTTCCTATCATAAAATCTAATTATTTTTATTTATCCCCCCCTCCCTTCTTCTTACCTTTGGTGAAGGAGGGGGGGACACAATCGGTGGTGGTTAGTAGCGCTAGCTATGCCTCGGCTCGCCTCTCCTCTGTCCTCCCGCGCAATGCTGTGGGGAGCGTTGCCATGGGAACGCACGGCAACGATCCCCATAGCCTGCTCGCAGGAGGATCGTTCTTCTGATCCCTCCCCTTGCCGGCTGCCTCGAAGTCCTCGGAAGCAGTTTGCATTGATGCAGGCGACCTATGGCCGCGTGCCCACAGAAGGGGCACGGCGTGCCACCTGTGGCACGCATGCCATAGGTTCGCCACCACTGCTCTAAAGTAATACAATGTGAGCAAAATATTTATTTAGATAGACTGGGCGACTGGACACTCTAATGGCAGATGCAAAAATGCACATGGGGTTAAAAAATGCACAAGCAACTTATACCCTAAATGGTAGTGATTTAGGGATAACAACACACAAGAAGGATTTGGGAATTATTATAGAGAACAAACTATGCAACAATGTACAATGCCAATCAGAGGTGGCAAGGGCTGTAAGGTATTGTCATGCCCAACAAAGGGCATTAATTCTCAGAATGAGAATTTAATTTTGCCTCTTTATAAATCACTTGTAAGACCACATCTTGAATATGCTGTGCAATTTTGGGCACCTGTTCTAAAATATAGCACTGGAAAGAGTGCAGAGGCAGGCTACAAAATTAATAAAATGAATGAAACATTTTAGCTATGAAGAAAGGTTAACTCATTTAACCCCTTAAGGACACGACATGTGTGACATGTCATGGTTCCCTCTTATTGCAGAAGTTTGGTCCTTAAGGGGTTAAACCTCTTTAGTTTAGAGAAACGTCACCTCAGAGGGAATATACAAATATATCCGGGTCCATTATACAAATATATCCGGGTCCAATACAAATCATTGTGTGGAAATCTATTCACAAACAGGACTATGCAGGGGGCAGAGCGTGACTGCTGAAGTGGAAGGTTGCACGCTGCCCGAGCTCTGGGCCCACGACCAACAAATCGACTAATTAACGAGACAAACATCGTAACATACCGCTTCATACTCCCACCCGTTGTGACGAAGTGCCCTTCGCCACTTGGTCCTGGAGAGGCCTACTTGCCAGCCTCCTCCCCTGTGACTATGACTCTTTCATGTATCTGGCTTTAAAGCCCCTAGTCTACCTTCAGACAGACTATTTATGTAGGCTGCTTTATTTATCTTATGTTTTAGTCACCCTGTACCCATTATAGGTGCAGGGTGTGTGTAATGTAATTGTTTCTAGTGTGTGTGTATGTACTGTGTAATGCATTGCCTGCTCTCTTGTATTGCTGAGGTTTGCTACCAACTAGGTGGGTTTGGCTATGGAGCTTGTCTAGTGCCCTCTGTTGGTAGCAACAGCAATATGCACTACCTGAATTGCAAGACTGGTTCATTTGCAAATTCGGGTAGATTTGCATATTGCTAATTCTGCAGGCAGGTGAGATATTTACTGTTAAATATTGTCTCCCCCACCCCTTTAAACATGTGCCATTGTGTTGTGATAAGTCACTGTGTGTTGCTTGATATGGTTTGACTGTTTGTGATTTTATTGAGGTTTCACATCAATGTTATTGTGGTGACCCTATTGGCTGGTCCCAAGGGAAATAAAGGTTTTGACAGTTCTTCTTGATCCCTCTAAACGTAGCCTTGTCTCGTTATTGGAGGGAGATGTTATAATCACACTGGGGATTGCTATGCTCTGCATGCTCCCCTGAGCTTGAGTCACTTAGCTCTTTTAAGAGCTTGTTCCTGACACGCTCTCCTTGGAGGAGGGGTCTTCACCACACAGTCCTGGATGCTGGAGGTTCGTACAGGGTGGAAGGAAGAGTTCTTTCCCACACAGTCCTGGAGAACAGAAGCTGATCCAGGGTGGAAGGAAGACGGCGAGACTCCAGTCAAGATACAGCGGTTGCGGAGTCTGTGGTGGTTGTGGTGTCTGCTGCAGCGCTTGGAGTCCTCAGGAAGCGCTAGGAGCATCCGTCAACGGAGGGTACTCAGTCGGAGTACAGGGAGCTCCGTTACACCCGTGAACATACCGGGGACAAGATGCCTGCGGCTATTCCACCGGTGGTCAGCAAATTCACACCAGAGCAACCACGCAGCCTGTGGAAGGCCGCACTCAGGTCGACTATGGAGCCCAAAATCGCTCCCACCCTCCCCCCTATGGACCGGCGGGAGTCACACCCTGAGGGAGTCAAGATGGCCGCCGAATTGGGACCCAGCTCACTCCAAACTCCCAAGAGGTGGGCCACCCAGAAGTACAGCATCACACAAGCCTTTGACAAATACTGGGCAAAATATCGGGAAATACCCCTACAGGATGTAACAAAGTGTTCCACTGCAAAACCGACCCAAAGCAACTTGCAGATCGACACGAATCCAAGCTGGATTACAGCCAAGCAAACCACAAGGCAGCAGGAGAGTAAGCAGAGGCAATGCATCAGACGGAGAGCCTCCCAAGACCAAACCTGGTCACGCAAGCCATACCTGCCTCAGGCTGCCACCAACCGCACTCCCAGATAACAGAATATTCAATATACAAGCCAAATCAAAAACTAGACAGGAGAGGGCGCTATTAAGGTCAAGAAAGGAACCATAACATGGTACTGACTAAAGCACAGACACTCTATTTATAGTGGGAGGGTATTGCTTTAAAATCACATGTTGAAAGTGATGTGAATCTGCATCACCCACCCAATGACATTGACATGCATGTATAAAAGGATCTGGCAGGAGCTAGTCAACACTAATTTGGGTGTTGTGTGTAATGAAAATATATGAATATACAGTTATGCATCACTCTTTATACAAGTCTGTTTGGTTTTAATCTATATTAGATCATACTCACAAACGTTTCACTTTGCATGACAGTGACTTGCCATCAGAGCTATTTCTCCAGAAAAGCCCCATTTGCACATTCACAGTGGTGTTCCTCTGAAAAGTGGACCCTTATGCACAAGCAGATTTCATATCACAGAAAGTAACTGCAAGCAATCAGAACAACAGTTGCAATTGGTTAAGGTTGATTAGGGTAACAGGTTAATCAAACATACATATCTCACAATTGCCCTAGCCAAATTATACCAGTATACATATAAGAAGAGGAGACATTCAATTCATATCAATTTTTAAATTAATATTTGTTTTTTTAATGAACTCAAATTATCTACCCTAGCTATAATTTACATAAATACTGTTCTTTGTGATAAATAGATATATAATTCATACACCCACTCATGCATGAACAAGAAGACATACGTGCAAAATATCAATTGGTCCTCAATACCAACAAAGGCTGCGGGCATGCATTGTATCCATGGCAACTGAAGCTGTCTTGTTTGCTTGGGTGGAAATGTATTAGGAATTATTGCCTGAAATCTAGAACTCTGTTGCTATAGAAACTGTGAGGCCTAGAAAAGCTCAGTTTAAACTGGCAAATTTAAATGTGGAAAAAATGAAATGCAAACCTGATATTTGACTCTGTAACTTCGAAAACACCATAAAACCTGCACATGGGAGGTGCCGTTATACTCGATAGACTTCGCTGAACACAAATATTAGTGTTTCAAAACAGTAAAACATATCACAACAATGATATTGTCAGTGAAAGTGCTGTTTGTGGTGAAAAATGCAAAAAAACTGCACTTTCACTGACTGATGATATCATCATTTTGATATGTTTTACTGTTTTGAAACACTAATATTTGATTCAGAAATGTCTACTGAGTATAACTGTAAATATCAAAGAATGCACACCAAGTATTATCAAATGTCAATCTCTATTCGATACAATTCATATACAAATCACATATAAAATTCTCACAATTAACACAGCAGTGACTTCTTAGGCAAATTATAACTTAAAGTATAATTACCACATTCCACAACCCCCAACGTTTTGGCTCCTTCTGGTAGCCTTTATCAAGGGTATCTATATCATACCACCACCCTGAAACCCCTTATATACATTTATACACAATTACTTACAGCTGATGGCCATCAGTAATGACATGGTAACCCGAGACCGGAAGTGACGTCATCACTTCCGACCACGGTCCCATTTAACAATCATAGATTTTACCATTTCCATTACACCTTCCTATTACATTCTTCCATATATCCTTAGGTTTCATATTTGCCACATTTACCAAGGTAAACTCCTCAATGTTTGGACAAACACTACGCGCATGCGCAGAACTAGCGCGCCCCGTCGCCATATTGCTTCCTGGCATCGCTCAGCCAAGTGCCATCAAAAAAATGTATAAATAAACAAAAGGAAAACGAGAATTACTCACTGTAAATATTTCATTCTCTGTTGGACGACCACATACTGAGTATAACTGTACCTCCTATGTACAGGACTTCAGGTAGCACGGGTTTTCAATCACAATTTTTCCCCACCATAACCTATTTGGATTTTGCTTCCCAAGCACTACCAAGCCTCAATAAGCAAACCAGTAACCAACCTCACGCTGATGATTTGCATTAACAATGAAACGGCTGTCCATGAGTGGTTTACTGGTTTTGCATCTTTTCCTAAGTTGTGTTTCAAAGCTGTCGTAAAATGCAAATACAGACTCAAAGGAATCTATGTTTCAAATGGAATGAGGCAAAAATGTGATACTTTGTTAAACTAATTTGCATATGCCTACTCAGAATCCTTTGCGGTAGTAACATTACTGCATATTTGTGATTTCTTTGGGAAAAGCACTTCTTATGGCTTGACTGGTGTGCAGATTTTTGTTTCACATTGTATTAACTATATATATATATATATATATATATATAGTTGTGGAGATTGTAACCGTATTAGTCCAGTGATGTAGATGTAAAAAACAGAAAATTTGTATCTTGTAATACCTTTATTGGACTAAAATCATTTTTTAATGACAAGCTTTTGAGAGAACTTCCATTTCTCCCGAAATCTTGTCGAAAAATTCTGAAAAAGGTATTACAAGATGCACATTTTATCTGTTTTTTACACACACACACACACACTTTTTTATTGGAGTAACATAATATTTCAAAGACAAGCTTTCAAGAGTTTTCCTTTCTTCCTCAGGTCTGAAGCAATACTGATCAATCTGATAGAGTTTAACACTTAAAACAACTGATGTGTCAGGATTACAATTGATCCAACACGCAGTATAAGTATCACACTTACGAATAAGGATAACGTCTAACTTGACCTTAAAATGGCCGGACTTAACATACCAGAGAATAGATGAAATACTAGCCGAGGTCAGGAACACAGAACGAAATACAGTTGCAAGGAATAGCCAATAGTCAGGGATACCAGAAATCAGGGAAGTCAGAACGAAGCCAAAGTCAGTAACCAAAGAAACATGATCACGAACACACTCTCGGATAACCAGCAAAGGGAAACCAGGACAGGGCAATGAGCAGAAGAAATGAGTGAGTTTAAATATCCCTCTTGTGAACTTGATTGGCCTTTGACCTAAAAACATGCGCGCGCATCCTCTGCATGACATCGCTACCACCTTGGACAGACGTGGGGCTACATAACAGTGTGGATCCGCAGTGGTCGGTGTCAGCCAGCATGTCTCAAACGCCTGGCCTTAAGGCATAGGACTGACGAGCAGCACTTCTCCTATTCCTGGAAAGGTGATTTATGTTGAGAATGGCATATGGAGATGATGTATATGTGACATTACCTCCACCTGAGGACCACCCACCAGGTTGGCAGGACCAGGTTTGAGAGGAAATTTTGCGTGCAAAGAATGAATTTTGCTGCCAGCATGCATATCAGAGGCAATCAACCAGGTATTGCCAGGAGACCCAAAAAACCTGGAGTCAGTTATGGAGGAGACATCGTACTCCTCCCTTCCAGAAACAACCAGGGGAGAAGGAGGGACAAAAGGGACAGAATACCTATTACAAATAAGAGGCTTAAGCAAAGATACTTGAAAAGAACTAGGTGACAGGAAGAGAAAGAGAGTATGAAACAGGATTGATCCTCCGAACAATACGAAAGGGACCAATAAATATGGGAGCAAACTTCATGGTAGAAACCTTGAACCTGATATTACGTAAGGAGAATTACACCCGATCACCCACCTGGTAAACAGGGTTGGCACCCTGCGCTTGTCGGCATGAAACTTGAAATGAGCAGCCGCATTCTCAAGAGTTGAGTGGACTTTAGTCCAAGTTTCACGTATAGAAGTAAGGTGGTCATCCAGAGCAGGGATAGTGGTGTCAGAGAACACAGCAGCGAGAACAGTAGTATGGCAACCGTTGACAAAAAAATGGACTATGCCCGGATGAGTCATGGGTAGCATTGTTCCTGGCAAATTCGGCCCAAGCTAGCAATTTAGACCAATTCTCCTGCGCGCTATTGATAAAACAGTTCAGTTCCAATCACTGGTTAGCCCTCTCAATCGCACCATTAGTTTAAGGATGGTACAAAGAAGAAAAGGATAATTCAATACCAAACTGTTTATTGAATGCTCTCTAAAATCATGACACAAATTGGGACCCTCTATCAGACACAATGTTTTGCAGAATACCATGTAACATGACTATCTCACTTATAAATATATGAACTAGATCTTGGGAGGAAGGCAATTTTTTCAGTGGAACAAAGTGTGCCATTTTAGAAAAGCAGTCAACCACCATAAGGATGGTAGTATAACCATTAGAACGCGGGAGTTCAACAATGAAGTCCATAGACAAATGAGACCATGGGACACTGGGTACAGGAAGAGGTTGTATGTGGGAACCGTGGAAACCACACAAACGGTACAAGCGTCCACATAGTCTTTGATGTCTTTCCTGAGTGAAGGCCACCAGAATGATTGAGACAGGGGATATAGTTTTATTAATACCCGCATGTCCAGCAGTCACATTGTTGTGGACTACCTTTAGCACCTCCTTTCTTTCTAACAAAGGAATAAACAATCTATCTTGAGGTTTATCACAAGGTGCCTGGGACTGAGCCGCCATGATAGCACAAAGAAGAGGGGATGACAGTGGATGCAATGATACACTCAGGTGGAACAATAGTGAAACCAGAGGCCGAAATATTATATCCCAAAAACTGAACCTCTGTTTGGTTAAATATGTACTTTTCAAGTTTGCAATAAAGTTAATTTTCAAGCAAAGTTTGCAATACTTGTTTGACATTGTAACGGAACTTCCCGTAATCCGACCGAGTACCTTCCGTTGTTGGACGCTTCCTAGCCAGCATCCTGGGAACACCAAGCAAGCCTGGAGTATTGGTACAGTCACGTACGTTTGACACTTTACTGAAGGGGCTGTTGGCTCTCTATGGACCCAACCCAACAGAGCAACGTATACAGTAATTATTTTTCATATAGCCTATATATGTTCTGCAGAATCTGCATTAAACCGTATCTTCCAAACTACTGAACAGATCTGGGTGAATTTTGGATATGTGGTTCACCCAGATCCCCCGGTTCCAAGGATTTTTATGGGGTTATTGCATGTTTTGGGGTCCCTGTGATATGTTTTGTAATACTATATTTTCCTGCCTGTGATAATTA